TGTTTTTCTTCGATCATGCAGAACCTGAAACAAATAAATGAGAAAGGAAAATAAATCAATACGGGAGAGTAGAAAGATAGGGATTGTTTCAATTGTACTCAAAAAAGAATTTATACCAAAGAAGTACAAATCAAAGTATTTATATATAGAATCCTCAAAACATCTGAGTCTCATGTAAATATGAAATTACTTTTGTAATAGTTTACCTTTTTAAAGAAGTTATTTTTGGCAAACTGACTGTTCCAATATTTTCGATAAAGCATGCGTATCTAATGTCCGTTTCAAAATATAATTGCGTCCCAGTGTTTTTTGAATAACTCAAGAACGCAATCAGCCAGAGATCTGCGATTTTTACCAATCGAAAGAAAAGACATGGGGACGTCTTTTTCTCCAATATTGTATCAGACAAAATCATTTTAGAATCAGTCATTTCTGCAAAACATTGCAAAAAATGCATGAAAACGACCCGGCATTCTGAAGAAATTTTTCTTTTGACATGTGATCTAGATAGAGGGACTTGAGATCTATACTTCAGGATATAATTCGAATGATTATCTTACCGCATGCTAACGTTTAGCAAATAAAATCGTCTATTTACTCGCAAGAAAACTATAAATTTCTTTTAATTTTGAAGCAATTTTTTTTACTTTTTGTCAAAATTTCATCTAAATGACAGACCATTTTTTCGATGTTATGCAGAAAGGACTGGTTTCAAAATGATTCCGTCGGATACGATAGTGGAGAAAAAGACGTCCCTCTGTCGCTTCGTTCGATTGGTGAAAACTGCAGGTCTCTAGCTGATTGTGTTCTTGAGTTATTCAAAAAACAGTGGAACGCATTATATTTTGAAACGGACATTACTTCATCATGCCCATACCTTTTTACGCTAACGACAATGCTCTACCACATCTAGCTTAGCAGACAAACATTCTGTGTTTACTACGATAAATCGTTGCAGTCAATCTTCATCCATCAAATTTCTATGCTCTCTCAGTTGAACAAGTTATCCATCTACGTCTCCATCCAATGCTCTCAAACTTTAATCAGTTAATCATTTTCACTAACTCATGAATGACATATTTTATTTTTCATCATTGTTCTTCGTACACCTTTTAATCAGTCATTTCTTTGCTTTTTCACGTGTGTGTGGACACACGTTTCCACCAGTGCAGAGATTTGTTACAGGTATGCTACATAGATATACGTCACCGTTTAATATTTGTATTTATTGTTGTCTATCACTCTTGTGCGTTCTGTTCTTTTTTATCGAGCATTCGAGGAGAGAACACGAGTCGATAGAGCAAGGACGACGCTCACATGTAGACAAGAAAAATTGAAATAAAAACGAGAAAAATCATCTGATCTTTGTCCAAAAGAGAAGTTTAATAGATATTCCGAGCTGTATTCCGAAAATTCATCCTATTTTTGTGATTGAATAGGAGCCAAGAATCTCCAAAATATCGTACTCTCATCGTTCTCGTGTATTAAACGCACACAGAAATACTTTCACATATACACGATCATCATCGTATATTACTTGTCATGGTTCGATGAATTTGTATTTTTTTCTTTCTTTGCAAGTTTAGCTTGAAAAGGTATTGCCTTACAACGTCTATAGTCATTTTTTTTCTTTTTATTCTCGTCGTCACAACGTGTGATCGTTGTTTTGTTTTTGACCAGAAGAAGAAAAATGTCTATGTCACTTGTTGAGCAAGACAAGGCTAGTGAGTAACATTTGCAACTGTATGAAGCGGAGATTCATGAATCTATTATAGGTGATATGAATGATGATCATGAACGATGGCTGGTTTACAGCAAGGTATACTTTTTTTGCGTCTGCTTCCATTTATATATGAAGCATACATTTTATTTCTGAAACATGTCGAAGACTAAGATTGGCTTTTTCGAAAATCTCAAGTGTTGAATTTTTTTTCTTTCAAAATGTAAAAAGAAAATATGTCGATAGGAAACATATCATGATGGCAATACGTTTAAGCATCGAGGGTACAAATTTTGTATGGATGAACCAAATCCTGTCACTTTGTCGCAAAGATTTAGAAGGATTTGGTGGATTTCTAACACTAACTATTGAGGCTTGCTTCAAAGAATGATTAGATGTGAAATTTGATTTTTTCTTTAGCTGGTTCGACAAAAAAGTCTTGAAAAAAAATACATAGAAGATGGTACTGAACTGCAATTGGAAATTAACAAAATAGAGGATGCCGATTGGCAGATTGTACTCGAAGAAGTAAATGATAAAGAACATCCGTTACGAAAGTTAACATTAGATTGGGATGGTAGTAAATCCTACAATGAACCAATCAAACCAGGCTTTATTAAATTGACAGAAACTCTTGGATCTCATAAAACATTGGCCGAATTCGAGTATCGTAGTCGTGATTATTCAAGGGATGAAAACTTGACTGTTTTATTGAAATCACTCAAAGACAATCGTTCCATCAAATACTTATCGATAAGCTCAAGACGGTTTGATTTGGAAACAGCGCGTGTGTTCTCGCAAATGTTGACGAATAATCAAACTTTGCTTTCTCTCAACATGAGAGTCTACAGTGATTATCAATTTGAAAAGGGGTAGATCAATCTGTCATAGACCAGAGTATTCTTCTATATTATTTTGTTCTATATATTTCAGAGAAACTTGGATTGTTCCAATTGACTCTGAATGTGTTGTCGTGTTGGCTCATTCTCTACAAACAACTGCTCTGAAATGACTCAAAATTAATAAAATTGATGATAATGGTTTCGAAGTTCTTGCACGATCTTTACCAAAGACTCTCGTCCATCTTGATTTGGCTGAAAACAATATTAATGGAGAAAAAATTTCTACTATACGTTCTTATCTTCAATCAAATGGAGAAAATCTCAAAGAATTGATTCTCGATGATAATCTTGCAACTCAATATTTCCAAAAACAAGCATCCTCATCGTTATCGACAGTTAAAATCGTATGGAATAGCAGTCTGTTAGGAAAATTGTTGCGTAAGGAAGACTATCTCCAATTAGAATCGAATAAACTGGATGACGCTGATTGGTCCTTGGTGGCTACAACATTAACCAAAGAAGATACGACTTTTCGCAAACTGAATTTGCACCTGTTTGATGAATTTAATCGAAATTATTTGAATTATCTTGAAACTCTCCTTGGTAAACAGTGTCGATTGACGAGTTTGATAATTTTCAATTGGATTCAGGATAAACCAATCCAAATTGAAATATTGCAAATGTTGAAAGAAAACGATTCTATCAACGAATTAAAAGTCGCCGGAATGGATTTCGAAGCTCTCAACGAATTGGGAAAACTTCTTGAAAACAACAACAAAATCAGACATGTCGAGCTGTTCCATAATTCGCTTAGTGACGAAGATTGCGTCATGTTGGCTAATTATTTAAAGAACAATCAAGTTCTAGAAAGTTTCACAGTAGATGGATGTGAAATTGGTGACATTGGTTTTCAAGCAATTCTCTCTTCATTACCAAATTCATTGTCTCAATTAGAATTCACAAATAATCGAATCAGTGAAAAAAGTTTACCGGCATTACTTGCTTTTGTCGAGACCCATCCGACTTTAAAACAAATTTCTCTACTTGAATCTGGTATAAACAAAAATAGTTCAACTCCAGTAAATGCATCTGATTTAGTGGTAAAAATTCTTAAAATTACAAATAAAAATCATAGTATTTGTCAAATTGGATTTGACTGAAAAAATCAATACATATCTTTATTAAAACTATCGTCTATGTTTTTGTTTTCTGTGCAATTATTTAGTTTTTGTAAGACTTATATTTAAACGAGCAATAATTAAATTTAGCAGTGATTATACTAAATGAGCAATAATTTACTTAAATTAAGGGTAAATATTATATAAAAAAGGTCAATATAAATTCATTTATTTATACAAATACGTATTTTCTCAATTTTATAAAATAAAATATATACTTTATACAAGTGGCTCAATCACAATGCTTAGTGTTATATATTTCTGATAGTGAAAGTTACAATGATATGGAACTGAAGTCTTCTAATAATAGTGAAGAGATTAAGAAAAATAAAAGGAGGTTGTGCGTGTGCCCGAAGAAAAGACTAATACCCACACTCACACATACACATTCACCTATTTCAACATATGGTGCGTATGTTTGTCTAACAATGCTGAAGAATGGAGAAAAGCAACTTGCATTTGTCCATCATTCCTTATAAATTATATTTGCAAACACATCATTGGTATGTCCATCAAGAGCAAAAAAGCTTTATTAACACAATAATATACTATTTCTTCATTTTCCTTTTTTTTTTTATTATCAATTGTATTTTATTGCTAAAACATGACATTACTAGTGTTATTTAATGAATTAATTATTTTACATTTAATAATATAAAATTGCTCAGATGAAGTTTTAAATTTTAGTGTAGCATTCTAGAACTAACTCGACTCAAGTCAGTCAAAACAGATATCATTTACAGACCGTTTTCGGCCAGTAAACAATGAAAAAATGTCTAGTTTACGACCGTAAACCGTGTCAATAAGTACCTCAAACAATCCGTATTTATCTGTCACATTTGACGCAGTAATACGATCCGTATTTTATCAGTACCGTAAACAGAGGGTGTGGATGTGGTTGGAGAGAATCTTTCCACACCCACATCTATACCCACACTCGATGCATCTGGTTGAATGATCGACTATTCATTTGCAATATGGATGTAGAAAGTATACCACCAAACGGTATTGCATTAAATGATATAACCAACATAACAGAACGAGATAGATTGCAATTGAGAGTTATTTCAAGTTTAATTATTACATCTATTTCTGATCATTAAGCTAGACTAAATATATCACGTGCGGGGATAAAAAAAATACCCATGCTATCGATAGCGTTAACAATAGACTCATTGAGCGCATATGTACAAAAAAAAACAAGAAACGATAACATCACCAAAACCATTCTTGAAATCAAAGGAAAAAAAAATAATCAAATTAAAGTTCCTTAGCACGCATAATTTGGGTGATTTTATCGACGATATACTAGTAGAGAAAAAAAGAGAGAGAAATAAATCAATGACGAAAGAGAAATTACATACTCGAGCTTCGCCTGTACTTCGATACGAGACCGATGTTTCATGCGGTCGATCTTTTTTAATTAAACCAGGTACTTTTGGTTCCTGGAAAAAAAAATGTCATTTTAGCTCTTTAGAGAAAAAGAATTATCGATGAATTCACTTTTAAATGAATTTGAATTTCGCTTGGTTTGAACTTGACAACAGGCGGTCCCTTCAAGGCTTTGTAATGACAATCCCATTCAACTTCATAGACATCTGACGAGTCGAATTTTCTACTTATCACTAATAATCGTCTAGAAAATTCACTAGTGAATAAATTTGATTCAAAAATGATAGATGATATTTACTTGAATCTAGCCAAAAGGATAGTAGACAAATCTTCAGTACAATCAATATGAGCAATATAAGTATCTAATGGGCCATGCTTTTCATCGTTGAGTCTCTGCTAAATGAAAGAAAAAAAAAACGAAATTCAATCAGAAAGAAACTTTATGAAAAGCTAACATTGAAAATATAATATCCTCTAACTTCACGACCATTAGAAGATTGAATAATACCATCTCGACTAACATGTCGTGGAGATCCAAAACGATGAACGACTCCTTCATGCGCAGCAATTCTACAAAGATCGCACAATCCAAAGATTTGATCAACAAAAGAAAATCTACTCACCGTTTGATCAAATCAAATGATGTAATAGTAAAATCAGCAACACAACTTCCTGATCATGCAACAATACCAAGGAAACCTTTACCCAAACCTTTGGCAAAGCCAGTTGTGCCTCGTTTTTTCGGACCAGATACTGATTTCCTTACGACACCCTTCACACCATGAACAACATCCTATTCGAAACAATGAATATATAATCATGAAAATAATAATAAGCAGAATCAATACACTAACCTTACCAACATTTTTTCCACTTAGAATGCCGCCAGATACTCAATGTCCAGCCGCTTCTTTACGAGCGATACGAGCATTTTAATAGTCTTGATCGAATGTTAACGCTGCTAAACCTTTGCTTGCCGCACCCGCTATCTTAAAAACACCACCAGCAGCACCACCAATGCCAGAACCAACTAGATCTACACTACCTCATACTACATCTTCGATGAATTTGTATTTGGTGTGGGCGCGCGGTGTGGGTATCGGATGTCCCTGTGGGTGAGGGTGTCGGTGTGGGTGTGGGTGTGGGTGTGGGTCTGTGGATGTCGGTGTGGGTGTGGGCGTGGACGTGGGTGTGGATGTGGGCGTGGGTGTGAGCGTGCGCTTCGGTGTAGGTGTTCCCCCTTTCTACCTAAACCCACACCCACACCAACCCATACCCACAACCACATACAAACCCACACATCCCACATCCACACCCACATCCACACCCACACCGACACCCACACCCACACCAACACCAACACCAACCTTTGCTTCGAAGTGAGCAAAAGAGGTGAACAGAAGTCGTACGAGTAATGTTCGTTTGTCATGTGATGTTGGATG